AGCTGATCATGTTAATGCCTTCTTTCTGCTGTATGAAGTCAATACAACCCATGTCCCCTAGATCCTGAGGACAAATCATAACCCTTTATTCTTCAGCCCATCTGCGGGAAGTAGCCAATAAGAGAAGACAGCTTCCCCTTTCTTTCTAGCTGTCTTCAGCATCTGGAATGAAGAGCTAATTACCTAAAAGTCACAGGTGGACTGAGAAGCCCTGAGCAGGAAAGTTGACTTGATCTACCACACTTGTGGAACCTTCTGCTAGGGAGATTCACATACGAGACCTGCTGTTTTCTGCCACCTCCAGTGGTAGAAAATGGGAAAATGGGTCTGCAGATGGAATATTATACCTCTAAAATTTTTCCTTTTTCATCCTAAAAAAAAAAAAAAAACACAAACCCCAACACCACACACATACAGCTTTGAGCCCATGGAGAGACTGCAGCCCTTCAACTGTTTTGATTAAAGAACAATTCTGCTCCTGTAGATGTCTGTCTTGTTCCCTTCATTTCCACATTGCCTTTATCAATCCCCATCTAACATGTCACATTGATTACCCACAAAACAACAGTAAGTGCTGCAATGAGTTGTAAAAAATGTCATACATATGCCAATTAGTTCACCTAAAGTCAGCCAACAGACTTGCCTCCATTCTTATTTTACAACTTTGATATCTCCCCAAACATATACATTCTCACAACCTTATTAAGAGTGAGATAATTACATAACCAGCATGCCTAAAAGGAATGAGTTTGCATTCACTCTAGGTATCTCGACTGCCAACACAAGTATCTGCATTATCCACACTCTATAGACTCTAGAGTCTCCTGGGGGATGAGCCTCTGGTTATGCTTATGAGGATTATCTTGACAGCATTAATTGATGTGTGAAGACCCTTCTTAATTTTGTATGTGACCATTCTCTGGGCAGGGGAATCCTGGACCCTCTAAAATGGAGAATGTGCAGTTAGTCAAAGCATAAAAAAGTATTACAGTAGTGAGAAAATAAATTACAATACCCAATTCCCCGAAGAGGTGAAATTTTCTCATAATTCTCATTCTGGGAGAAGGCAAGGTGTGTGCTGTTGTGATTTTAAAAAGGTATCATGGGAGAAAAAGATATCATGTGACAGAACTCACATGGAGGATTTTTTTATTAGATGAAAGGGAATATAAAAGGGGGAAAAGGAGGAAGGAGACCTGTCTCTGGGGACAGGAGCAGCAGAAGGGAAGAGAGAGAGGCAGAGAAAGAGGGAGAGTATAGGGAGAGACAGCAAGACAGCCAGAGAAGCAGAGAGAGAAAGGAACAGACAGACAGATAGGCTGAGAAGGAGATAGAGAGATGGGATGTGTCCTTTTAATAGGGAACTAAGTGAATGTGCATAGGCAATGTTCTTAGTGCCTACTGCTGAGTGTGTGTCCTATCAGAATCCCTAGGGCAGGCCAGTACAAATGCCTGAATGCTAACATCTGGTGACAGCAGACGGGTTCATAGGGTAAGGGTTGTTCAACAAAGGAAAATAGATTTGACAGCTGTGGAAATTATGTCAGACTAGCTTCCTGCAGGGAGGCTCCAGTCTTTGATGGGTCAAGGATGGGCAAGACCACACCTTGACAAAGTGCTTAGTTATCCACACCCCTCTCCCTGAATTTAAACATAAACCTCATGTCAGTTCCCCTATTTTAGCCCGGGAATCTCATTGTTCCTCTTCCTATTGTGACAACTCTGTATTAACATCTTTTTCTGTCCTTCACTATTAATGTGAGTTGTTGGGAACAACACTTGAGCCGGATTTGTTAGGGCTGCTGGCTGCAGCAACAATACCTGTATACTTCATCAGTCAGCAGCCTGCTCATTTCTAAATCAACACAAGAATTGCAAGCCATATAAGATTCAGTCAAACCCCAGAAGCCTAAAAATAAATTTACAGCTCATCTTCCCTGACCCCTCAGCTTATTCCCAAACTTCAATCTAAACACAAATCAGACAACTGTCCCTCTCTATTAGCCTCATCTTCTGCTGTCATTCACCTGTTTACCTTTCCGTCCCTATGGAATAGTCAAAGAAGTATTCCAATTCAGTCTCATCAGAAAGTTCAAATAATGTGATGTTTTTTTTTTCTGCTGAATTTATAAGAGGTGTCCCACTTTTCTAACCACAAACTTGGAGAGGGACAAAACAGTAAAAGACATTTTATTAAAGAAAACATGTTTTAGGATATAATTTTAGAACTTAAATAAAGATATAAGACCAGACAATTCAAATCCTTGTTAAATAAATGATTTGGCATTCAGAGAGGTTAAGTGATTTCCCTGAGCTCAAAAAGCAAACATTTCAAATTTGATATTATATTAGGGCATTAAAATTTCTAGTCAAGTTTCCATTATCTCTTACTAAAATCCATTTTTTAACACTTCCGCAATAAGTACACAGATTAAATAATGGCCTATAACTGGGGACAGAAAGCATATATTATAGAGCCTGCATTTAAAAATCTATGTACTTCCTCATGAGTAATTAAGACAAAATATGAACTTGTTTTATTTATCAATACTAATATCAAAATTAAAATCTCTTATCAAGTTTGTGCTTTTCAAATTTTATCGAAATGCTTCAATTGAAATCAGTGGATTCTTTGTGTGTGAGTGTATATATGTGTACATATGTATATGAATACATGTTTATATGTTCTCACGTGGAAGCCAGAGGTTAACAATAGATGTCCTCCTCCATCACTCCCACCTTATATTTGAGATGTAGAGTGTTAGTTACTATTTTATTGCTGTTGAGAAACACCATGTCAAAAGAAACTTATAAAACAAATAATTCAATTGTGAGAATGATTATGGTAAAAAGGGTTAGTCCATGATTATCATGATAGGACACATGCTTGCCGGCAGATAGGCATGATACTTGACTAGTAGTTGAGAACAAAAATTTGATCCAGAGGCATATATGGAGAGAGACTAAGAGTGAGCCTTTTGAATTTAAAAGCCTATTTCCAAGTAACATGCCTCCTTCAAAAATGCCACACCCACTCCCACAAAGCAATACTTATGAATCCTTCCTAAAAAAGTACACAAACTGGGAACCAAGAATTCACATGTATGAGTCTATGGAAGACATTACCTTTTAGAACAACCACACAGGGTCTACCACCAAACCTGGATCCCACCCATTTTGGTAGAATAACTATAGAAAAATTATTTCAGAGCCAGGGCACTGGAATTATAAAGACATGTCCCTGTATGCAGCTTTTCCTCACAGGTTCTGGGAGATCAAGCCCAGGTCCTCATTATTGCATGTCAACATTTTATTAGTTAAGCCACCTCTTCAAGTAAGCTTGGATGGTTTCTTGTGACCTTGTGGGGAAAGTCTTTCTTATTTCCCTCCACTCTGAGGGACATTGTCTGTTCTCATCTACATCTTACATTAGTGATACTACAGATGTCTGACAAGAGTTTTGCTACTTTGAAATCACTATGCCATTTACTCACCAATGGATTAACCTATATTCTTATTTTGAATCTTTCATATCTCCCCTAGACCCATAAATTCCATACCACTTTATAGATGATGTGTGATTTCCCTCTCTGTGCTGTGGTTACCATTGAAAAATAAAGAAACTGCATTGGGCCTATAGCAGAGCTATAGGGGAACAGAGCTATGTGGGGAAAACTAAACTGAATTCTGGTAGAAAAGAGGGCAGAGTGAGAGAGACGTCACGTAGCCCCACCGGAACCAGATGGAACTTTAGCTAGTAAGCCACAGCCACATGGCAATACACAGATTAATAGAAATGGGTTAAATTAATACATAAGAGTTAGCCAATAAGAAGGTAGAGCTAATGGGCCAAGCAGTGATGAAATTAACGTAGTTTCTGTGTGATTATTTTGGTTCTGGGCAATTGGGACAAATAAGTGGCCTCCCTACTACAAATTGATGGACTAAATCTATATAAAATCTGAGAGGGCTTGAAAAGAAAATATATACACTAAAAAGCAAAGTTTAATCACATTTATCTTCCCAAATAGGCTTTGCTTGCTTGTGGCATGCTGCAGCTCCTTTAAGAAATCAGTGGTAGCACACACACACACACACACACACACACATAAAACCATGGTTTTCAAATGCTGGCTTTCTGGGTTGTGCTGCTGGTGTGAACTCTGACTCTTTCTGGAGGTCTACCTACAGAGCATTTGATTAAAGTCTGTGAGCAGACTGCTACAACTTGCTTAATGTCAACATAGACTGACTGTATACCTAAAAATGGGGCTATGAGCATGGCTCTCAGAGACAGCGAACAGCTTCACAATGCTGGACTGGGCAGGGAAAGTAGACAGTGCCATATTTACCCTAGTAATGCAGCCACTTAAGTTCATAAGAAGGCCTTAGCGTTTTAAGAAGTGCTCCTGGACAGTAAAAAATTACAGATACACTATAGGACAGATTCAGACATAAAAGACATCTAAATGGGTCACAGTCTTAGAGAAATGTGCATAGGCTTGGGAGAGAGAAGAAAAAGTACAGTACAGAGAGTTGTACAAAGAAGTAAATGGCTTTTTAAAAATAAAACAAAGTCTTTAAAGAGAGTACAGACAGTCATAGAGTAAAAGGAGTAAAGAAAAACAAGCCGCGTAAAGATGGAAGATGCAAAGAGAGTCTGGATTATGTACACTATTTTGTTTTCTTTGAAATTTTTGGCTGCAGAGAGACCTTTGATTCTGGGGATTGCTAAACTAAACTAGCATGTATATTATAAAGATATCTTGACTTCAGAATTTTGGTCTAAGGATATGTTGCTTTGGAAAAGAGGTTCTTTTTTTTGTTTCCACAGAGAATGAGAACCTGTGCATTTTGTCCTGATTAATATCATTTGATGGACCAAGACCCCTTGAAAGATTCCCTTAAACATTCCACAAAAAATTACTTCATGAGAGAGTGGGACATCTATCTTTGGGTTGCAGCATTTGTGATATTGATCACCCAGGAGTGAATTAAAAATGGGTAACTTTGAGAAAGGTAAGAAGATTTTTGTTGAGAAGTGTGCCCAGTGCTACACTGTGGAAAAGGGAGGCAAGCCTAAGACTGGACCAAATCTCCATGGTCTGTTTGAGAGGAAGAGAGGTCAGGCATCTGGATTCTCAGATAGCAACAAGAACACAGGCATCAACTGGGGCGAGGATATCCTGATGGAGTATTTGGAGAATCCCCAAAAGTACATCCCTGGAACAAAAATGATCTTCGCTGGAATTAAGAATAAAGGAAAGAGGGCAGACCTAATAGCTTATCTTAAAATGGCTACTAACGTGTAATTCCACTGCTTTATTTATCACAAAACAAATATCTCGTGACTTTTAATGTGTATTGCAATTTAATTCATACACCAAAATTCAGATCATAAATGGCTAACAGTGTTTTGTTGGACAGTCCTGATTAAGTAAAATTGATTTGTAGAAAAGTGGATATAATCTTTTTTAAAAGTAACAACTTCAGTTGTATAAAAGCTATCACTACTCTCCCTTTCTCAAGAGAAGATAGGACTTAATTATTAAAGTTCTATTTTCGACAAAGTTTGGGGTATCACATCAAACCTATTGAATGGTTTTATAATTAAATTTATATAATTGGACATATGTTTAAACACTGGGGAAATTCTGTCACCATCTCAGAAACAAGAAGACTCTCCTTTGTTAAAGTTTGTACTCCCTGCTGTTACAAGCAATGGCTAAGTTGTCAGAAGGCAACTGTCTATTTTTGACTCAATGATGTTATTTTAATTAGAATTTCATAAGTCAAAAGATGCTTTTACGATTGAAAGGCACTTACTGTGGTTTATGTATAATATATCAAATAAAAAGTATTTAGCACATGTTATAGTTTATCTATTAAATTAAAATGCTTTTAGAAACCAGCAACTTAAAACTTACATTTTAATTCTTTATTATCTAAGACTAAATTCAGAATTGTCCTTAAATACCCTTTCAGAAACAAAACAAAACTGGAACTCCTATATATGTGTGATTGCTGGAGGCATTCTTTTCCATCTTTTTATCAAAGGATTAAAACAAAGGAGGTGTTTGCAGTGGTAAGAAGGTAATTAATCACAAAAAAATACTTTGCCCAATACACAGCAGTTTAGAGAATAACTATGCCCATATTCCCAAATATTGTTTATAAACATTCTTTTACATTTAAAGGGAGATATGCTATAGAGATTTGCATTGATATGGATCTTGATTTATTGATACAAATTCAAGGTCAATTTTGTTATGTGTATATTTCTGCTCCTGATTAAGGTATTATGTTTGACAGCTCATTTAAAAATGTAATGTATAATTTAGAAATACAGATATCATCTATAATAGTCAATCTTGAAGTCATGTTAGTTAGATTTTTCTAGTTATACAGAGATGTATTTCAGATGGATAGACATTCTTCAAACCTTCTGAAGACTACAGAATATGGCATTAAAAATGTTTTATGAACTTAGGACTTTTCATGATAACAAGACACAGCTGCTGCTGGCAGCACCAATCTACATCAAGAGGATGATAGGCATTGAAGAGGCTCCTTCTGGAGTTTGTTAGTCATTTGGGCAAGAAATTGCTCTTGCCTGACTGCTTGATAAACTATACATGTAGGACCCATAGAGAAATGACTGCCGAACTTGGCTAAAGGTGACATGATCCTTCGGGGGTTCCTGCTTCATGAAAGAGTCTGCTAGACATTCTGTAGGGCACAGAAAAAAGTGACTAACAAACTGCCAATATAGGTGGAACTGTCTTTGAAATTTCCTGCTTCATGGAAAAGTCTGCTGGATACGATGGGCCTGTGGGCTGAAAATGGCTGCCCCAATGGTGTGGAAGAACTTTGGGTAACTGTCCGGGCTGTGAGAAGTCTCTGCCAATTCTAGAGTTTTAGAAGTTGCTTACAATGTACTTCCTGTTTACTTAGGTAATATTATATCCTTCTGGAGTCTTTGATGGAATTGAAGAATAGATAGTAATAATATAGTTTTCCTTAGTTATGGTAAAAGATAAAATAAATAGAACTGTAATTCTTGCTTGATAAGTCTTTTATGTATTTTTATTATGCTAAAGTTAAAACCTTTTTTTTATTTAAACAGAAAATGGGAGGTGATGTGGGATTTCCTTCTGTATGCTGTGATTACCATTGATAAATATTGGAACACCTCTGGGCCTATAGCTGAGCTATAGGGGAACAGAGCCAGAAGAGGAAAACTAAGCTGAATGCTGGGAGAGTATAGGGTGGAGTCAGATAGAAGCCATGTAGCCTTGCCAGAGCCAGACAGAACTTCACCTGATAAGCCACAGCCACACGACAATACACAGATTAATAGAAATGGGTTAAATTAATATATAAGAATCAGTCAATAAGAAGCTAGAGCTAATGCGCCAATCACTGATTTAATTAATATGGTTTCTATGTGATTATTTTGGTTCTGGGCAGTCAGAACAAACAAGCAGCCTCCCTACTACAGATAGACAACAGCCCTCACCCTCTTCATCACCTAAGAACTGCTCAATTATTTTTGGAGTTGAACAGGTAATCATGATAGCATGACTTCTCTTGAGGACAGAAAGGATACCATGCCCACTCAATCCCTATGCATCCATTCTTATTTTCAATCCAGAGCAAAATTTATCCACACCCAGGATATATCTCAACACTGGGCCCCTCATAGAACTCAAGAGTCATAGGTATATTGGGCCTGACAACGACTGTATATAACTGTTCCTGATGAGGTTAATACTGCTTTGGGGCCTGGCTTTCAGCAAAACGGAGGTTTTTTCCTGACCCTGCTTCAAACTCGGTTGTTACCCATTCATTCCTATATCTGATCTTTGACATCTTGGTGTCAACACCAGTTCTCCAGGAAGTGTTTTGGGGAAGCCTCTTGACCTTCACCATGATCACCAAAGGGTATCTCTAGGTCTTGAATGAAATTCTCAGGCCTGTGTGCTTGAGTCAGCTGTAAGTGGGAAGACAATGGAGGCAGGTCTGGCTGCTCTGCACTAACCCTCCAATAGTCAACATAACTATTTCCAGAAAACAGATATTACTTGTGCAGAGTATTCCTCTCTCTCTCTCTCTCTCTCTCTCTCTCTCTCTCTCTTTCCTCTGTGTGTGTTTGTGTGTTTTTGGGCATGTACATGTTGTAGAGCACATGTGTGTAGATGTCAGAAAACAATTTCCAGTGTTACTTCTCATAGGCTTTCAACTGTTAGATTGAGACTGGGTCTTCTCTTGGCACAGAATGTCATCAAGTAGGCTAGGTTATCTGACAAAATTCCAGGGACCTGTTTCTACCTCCTCTGTTATCATAGTTTGGTTTACTAGTGGGCACAACTCCACCAAGAATTCTATGTAGGTTTTATTGATGTGAAATCATGTTTTCATGTTTTAAAGAAAGCTCTTTATTTGCTGAGTTTACCCCTGCAGTCTCCCTATCAAGAATTGTGATTGCATATGACTCACATGCCCCAGAATTAACAAGATAAATTCAAGAGTCCTTGATGTATGTACTTTGTTGAGATACACAGTTGCCAAAGATGGCCTTTATAGATTCTTTCTTTTTCTGTAGCTACTTGTTCACTCTGCCTTTACTGAGGCATTTATTGTCATGTCCACTAAATTTGGTCAACCTTATGAGTTTACTTGATGGATGTAAGTGATAGGAAGCACAATGGACCAGTTTTGAGAATGACCTTCTAGAAACTCAGAATTTCCTTTTGTTTGGGAAGAGGAGGAAAGATAGGCGTTCTCTTCTATTTTGTACTATAAGGTCGTATTTGTATTCCATATTGTTTAAAGGAATCTACATGTACTTGTTACTAACTTAGAACATTCACACTGTTATCAATTGGCTTATTCTGAGTTGCCCCTCCCAGGCCAGATCGCCTGGAAGAAAGGGTTGATACCAAGGGAAACTAAGTTTACTCAGTAGTTCAAAGCATGACTGAGACCAAACATCAAGAGCATGAGTAGTGAAAGGGAAGACAACAAAAGAACCACACAGATGTACCCAGTCTCAAAGAACAAAAGCCAAGCTGAGCTCCAGAGTGATTGACTTTGTGTCTCCCCATTATCCCTGTATAATCTCCTGACTGACAATGAAATTGAAAACAGATATTAATCCACTACTTTTCAGAGTGCCTTTTCCCTTGATAAAGCATAATTTTATGATTCAATTCCCATCTCTGTTCACTGGTTTCTCTAAGTGATGGGTAACCCAACAAAATTCTAGTTTCACTTTCACACTATGAAATAGGATGCTATTTAAGAATTATCATCGTACAGAATCTGACATGTGTAAGGAAGCCCAAGATACATAAAACGAGGTCATGGGGAAGAGCACCAGGACTCTCACATGGGCAAGACCATGTTGATGTTTTAGACTGATGAGCTATTAACTTCATATGTCCAGATAAGTAACTATTTTCTGAGATGATCTGCCACAAACAACCAATTGCTAAAAAAATACAATATTTGAAATTTGGGGTTAATTCTCAATAAACTATATAAATACACACATATACATGCGTGTACATGTACAACAGAATATATATATATATATAATATATATTATATATATTAGTATTATATGTATAATACTAATAGCACATATACAATATACAATTAATGTAATGGATTATATACAATCAATATTATTCTAAATGACTAACTTTATACTGTGAAACATAATTAATATTTATGGATTCATGATAAAGGCAGTAATCCAAAAGATAACTTTCTCTACTATAACCTGAAAAAAATTCATAGATATTCCTTATACAGTGAGAGATAAGGAGTGTAATATACAGTAGTTCAAAGTGATGAGCACCAGTTATTGCACCCATGATATGTATCAAGTGTCAATTAACAACTTTCTCTTTCAACCCTCATAAAATGTCATTGCATAAGAATTGGTATTCCTTGGTTGGAGAGATGGTACTAAAGTTAGGAGATCTCAGTCTCCAATTCCCATGACCCATGTCAGGTGGCTCATAAATGACTGTAACTCCCGCTCCATGAACTCTGATGTCTTATTCTAGCCTCCATGGTAATTGCATTCACACACACACACACACACACACACACAAACAGACAAACAGACGTGGGAGAGACAGAGACAGAAACAGAGACAGACAGATTCCAGGACCTCAGCATCTCAGTTCATGGAATGATGTTGCTCATCTTCAGAGTGGTTCTTCACAATTCCATAAATCTAATTCAAAGACTCTAACAGGTCCAGAGATTTGTTTCCCAGATGATCCTTTAACTTATCAAG